TCCCCCTCCACTGCCCCGTCCCTCGGTCTGGGAGGTCCCCCTCCACTATCTTGTCCCACAGTGATTGAGGTCCCCCTCCACTATCTTGTCCCTCGGTGAGTGAGGTTCCCCCTTCACTATCTTGTCCCTCGGTGATTGAGGTCCCCCTCCACTACCTTGTCCCTCGGTGATTGAGGTCCCCCTCCACTACCTTGTCCCTCGGTGATTGAGGTCCCCCTCCACTATCTTGTCCCTCGGTGAGTGAGGTTCCCCCTTCACTATCTTGTCCCTCGGTGATTGAGGTCCCCCTCCACTACCTTGTCCCTCAGTGATTGAGGTCCCCCTCCACTACCTTGTCCCTCAGTGAGTGAGGTTCCCCCCCGCCATTACCTTGTCCCTCGGTGAGTGCGGTCCCCCTCCATTACCTTGTATCCTCGGTCAGGGAGGTCCCTCTCGGTAATTATCCGCCTCCGGCCTCCCGTTTCCAGGCAGCAGCTCGAACGCAGGAACCCTCTGACGTCACCACGCAAGGCCGTTTGCGCGCCTCCGTTCCATTGACGTCACGGCGCCAGTGGCGCCGGCCCCGCTGCACCCTGGGAGTTGTAGTTCAGCTCCTCCTTCCTGCAAGCTCAGCATTAACTGAAGAAGTGTCCGGACCCGAAACGTCAGCCTTCCTGCTCCTCTGATGCTGCTTGGCCTGCTGTGTTCATCCAGCTCTACACCTTGTTATCTCTGACTCCAGCATCTGCAGTCCTTACTACCCCAAACTTAGGTAGTCTGTCTTCCCAGCTGGATCACTTTAACACAGGCAACATTTTTGTGAACCTCGTCTGAATTCCCTGCAGAGCCATCACACCCTTCCTACAGTGTCATGACCAGAACTGCACACAGTGCTGCAGCAACTAACGTTATGTACAGCTCCAACGTAACCTCCCAACTTGTAAACAGTGCCTTGACTAATAATGCCAAGTAGTCAATATGCCTTCTTAACGATCCTATCTACCTGTCCTGTTGCCTTCAAGACAATGCATACCAAGCCCCTCTGATCCTCTATACTTCCATTCACTGTCTACTCCCTTGCCTTGTTAGCTCTCACAAATGCATCACCTCGTATGTTTCACGATTGAGTTACATTTGCCATTGTTCAGCCCCTCTGAACAGCCCATCTGTATCATCTATTATCTAAGACTTTCCTCCTCACTATTTACCACACTGTCAATTTTTGTTTCATTTGCAAGTTTACTGAACATACCTCCTATATTCTTGTCTCAATCATTAATGTACACAATAAAGAGCAAAGAACCCACCCAACATGCCCTGTGGTATGCCATTGAACACAGGCTTCTGGTCACAAACATCTTTGACTATCACCCTCTGCTTCCTGCAACTAGATCATTTTTGGATCCAGTTTGTCAAATTGTCCTGAACCCCATGAGACCTTAGATTTTTAACCAGTTTACCATGGAAGACCTTGTCGAAACCTGACATCCATGTTGACTACATCAACAGCACTGCCCTTATCTACACACTTCATCACATCCTCGAAAAATTAAATTTGTTACGCATGATCTTCCTCTTACCAAGTCAAGCTGACTATCCTTGATTGATCCTTGCCTCTCCAAATGGAGATTAATTCTGTCCCTCAGAATTTTTTCCAATAGTTTCCCTCCATCAGATGTTAGACTCACTGGTCTGTAGTTTCATGGTTTAACCCTACCACCCTTCTTGAACAATGATATCACATCAGCTGTCCTCTTGTCATGTGGCATCCCTCCTGTGGCCAGAGAGGACTTAAAAATTAATGACAGCACTCCTGAAATCTCCTCTGTTGCTTCCCAGAGCAGCCTGGGACACATTTGGACCTGGGGAATTATCCACTTTTGCCATGGAGAGCCAGGTCCAGCAGCCTAGTCGGTAAATGATCGATAAACACTTGGATCTTCACACTAGCACTTGTGTCATTGCTGCTTTCATTTACTATCTCAGCAAGAAGGGGTTAAAAGAGGCTTGACCTCCCTCTAGGTCCTCCATCCCGGCGAGGTAGTTTGAGCAGACTGCTAGGACTTTGATGAATTGAGAGAGTTTGGGAAGGATGTGCTCCTTAGCTTTTGTGACATTTTAAAAACCTTTCACCTTGTAAGAATCGGTTCCTCCTCTTACTCTTCAGTATCCAATTTTTCAACACAGTTGGAGGAGGAGGAGCTGGTTGATGAGTGAGGGTGAGCAATTCCACTTTTTTCTCTGTAATCTCTAGCTTATCGTAAATAATCCAACAGCAATCTTAAGATATGGCAGGACAACTCAGTCATGTGGAATGCTCATCCTGTGGTACATGGGCTTTTGTGGATACTTTGCGTGACATTGATGAGCACATGTCCAGGAAGTGCCACCAAATGCAGAAGATTGAGTTCCAGTGCTCAAGCTAACTGGAAATACTGTGGTGTCTCCGTGAGGCAGTGAATACATGGATAAGATGTTTATAGAGGCATCATTATTCTTCCCTTCGTCTCCTTCTCCAAAAAACAGACCTTACATTGAAGACCAACTTTGAGAAAGATGATGGTTGTAAACATTTTCTTGGAATAGTTCACGCTCCATCCTCCAACTCTAGAGTACACTTCCCCCTGTGACTGTAAACAGCTTTCTCTGTCCCGTTGTCCCTCCTGTCACTATCAGTTCTTTCATTATCTCCTTGAATACTTCTGCTCTTCCCTCAGTCTCATTCCCATTCGATCACCATGCCCACTTTCACCCTTACAAACCCCCAAATTAAGTTATTTCTCACTTCCCATTATGTTCCTCATTTCTCATATGCAACACAAACTCTTCCTTGTTCCCCTTGCCCCGATTATTGTGTCTCTTCCCTCTGTGTTTCAATTTGCTCCCTCTATTTTCCAAGATCATTTCAGTGACCCAGGAAACCACACCATTGACGTCCTGTTCCCTAGCTTTCCTTTCGATTCAATGCACCTTGCTTTCCATCTTTCCTATTAATCCCACTTTTATGTTGATCCCCTTTTTGGTTAATTCCCCATTTAAGTTGAGAACTGCTTACCTGCCCCAGTCTGGTTTGATGGAATCTGCCCATGTAGCTGCCTCACTGGGCAGGGTGGTGGGCACAATCACCCTTCATTGCAACCATGATGTGGAGGTGCTAATGATGGACTGGGGTGGACAAGGTCAGAAGTCACACAACATCAGGTTATAGTCCAACAAGTCTATTTAAAATCACAAGTCTTCAGAGCGCTGGTCCTTCATTGCAACCTTGTTAGAAGGCAGACTACATATAAACCACAAGATGTAGAAGAAGTAGGTCCTTCGGCCCATCCAGTCTGCTTCACCAATCAGTGAAGTCATGGCTGATCTGATAATCCTCAACTCCACTTTCCTACCTTTTCGCATAACCTTTGATTCCTTTACTGATTAAAAATCTGTCTCCTCAGCCTTCAACTTAGTTAATGATCCAGTATCGATGGCCCTTTGTGCTAAAGAATTCCTCTGACAGAAGAAACGCTTTAAACATCTTAAATGGGTGACCCTTTACTCTGAGACTACACTTTCTGGTCCTGGGGAAACAACCTCTGCCCTGTGAAGCCATCTCATAACCTCTTATCTTTCAAAAATGTCTCCTGAACTCCAGCAGGTTTGCGACGACTCGTGTTCTGGTTGACCTGGTGAGGTTTCACTGAGCATTTGGGCAAAGTAACGGCTTAGTTATGAAGGAGACCAGACGGTGAAAGACATTGGTACAGATCGGAGCTTGGAGGAAGCACTTTAACTGCACCAGTCCATGCTTCATCTGTACAGCTGGGTTTGTGATTGTCTGTGTTTCCTCTTTTTGGCTAATAATATTACGCTCATGGATGTAATTCCAGTGGGATGAGGTCTTAATGCGTATTTATGACGTATTAGTAAATGCTACATGAGTTCCTGATGATGAAGGTCAGGAATGGGTCCTCTTGAAAGGTTTTGAGAACATTAATAACAAAACTCCAACCTGCTGTTAGGAATCATTAATTTTTTTGCTTCTCTCCAATGACGTTCCCCTGCCCAGTCTTCTGAAAGCTGCCAGCAGGTCCTGAAGGTTCCACCCATGGTTTTCGATACCATTGTCAAAATGAATGGTGTGGGTGCATTTAAAGAACGCTGGTAAAAGGGCAAAGATGAAAGGAGAAGCAAGGCATGCTTATTGCACTGTCATTAGCACTGCTGCCTCACAGCGCCAGTTCGATTCCAACCTGGGGCAACTGTCTGAGTGGAGTTTGCACACTCTCCCTGTGTCTGTGTGGGTTTCCTCCCACAGTCCATAGATGTGCAGGCTAGGTGGATTAGCCATGCTAAATGTAGGGTTCTGGGCATAGGGTGGCATGCTCTACGGAGGGTTGGTGCAGACTCAATGGGCTGAATGGTCACTTTTTGCACTGTAGGGATTCTATGATTCTAATGGGTAAAAGGAAATAGAGTTAGGGTTAGGGCAGGGAGAGGAAACATTGTGTGCAGCATGAACACCAGCATGGTTTGGTTGGACAGAATGGCCTTTTTCTGAGCTCAATGCTGAAGTAAATTCAATATAACATTGCAGTAATAGACGGAAGGAAAAGTGCAAATGCCACACCAGGGCCCTTTCAAAGCTGCTGGAAATTCAACTCATTTTCCTGTCTCGGATTTCATGGGCCCTGAAGGAACTTTGCACTAACCTCTCTCAGGTCCATCCACTTACAGCTGAACAATGTGGAATGACAAAGCTTATATAGCTTTCCTCAGCAACATTCAAAGTGGCAGCTCTCTCTGTCAACCCGAGTGCTATCAGTTCAGAGCGAACAAGCTGTTACTGGAAATCCCCATTCTGATGAGACAGTTAGTAACCCACCAACAGCCACCACCTCCCCCCTCAACCCCCGGAGCACATCCTAAGCACTTTGCCAGGACTTGATAAATGACGTGGTGCGGCAAAAAAGAAACGGAGCATTGTGAGTTACAGAACCATGGATGAAAGCAGTTCCAGTGTGTAGCATTTTAGTGAACTGTGAAAACATCACAAGGTGCCTCACAGGATCATTGTTGCCTCGCCATGTTGCCAAGAAAAAAGTGCGACCCTAAGAAATATTGACAAAGTCTCTCAGTTTTGAGTGTTATTTTCAAATTTCAGACCTTTGTCCCATTGGCTCCCTGCCAAAATTGAAACTGCATTGAGTTGAGTGTTTTTAATGTTTTTTTTAATAGAAATTTGGCTGAGGGCGGATCGAACTGTTTTAAAGCCTAGACATCCTATTTGAGCTGGAGCTTAGCATCACTATCCATTTGTGTTTTCTCATCACACTAACAGCCTGTTTCTATGTCTTTCACGCTGCCCACCTTCATCTCAATCTCCGCACATGGGGCTGCTGAAACCTTCATTCAGTATTTGTCACTTGCAGACATTAATTTGCACAGCCTCTCCTTGCGTTCACTCTCCTAAACATTAGTTGAAGCAGAACTCTGCAGCTGGTCTGCTACCATACCCTGACACCTCTTGCCCTCACTGACC